TCATTTTGGGAAAAATGTGATAAGCAAGCAAATACTATTGTGTTAATGAAAGTTAAAAACTCCGATGAAATTCTTGGCGGGTATAATCCTTTAAAATGGAATAAACCAATTAATACGTATGATCCATTTGATAATAATTTTGTATATTGCAATGATAGCTTTATTTTTTCATTGAAAAATGGAACTATGAGTTCCTCTATTTTAAGTCGTGTAAAAAACCCACAATCAGCAATGGTTTATTATTTTGGTTATGGTCGATATTTTGGTGATCTTGCGATGTACGATAATTTTAATCAAGATAATTTTAATCCAGATAATGGATGTGCTTATGGTTATTGTCATTATGAAAAGGCAATTAGAAAAGCAGAAGATTATTTTTCAGTAACAGAATACGAAATAATCCAAATGCAAAGAAAATAAATACAAAGAAAATAAAGTAGAAATAAAGTTAAATGTAATTAAACTTTATTTTTTAATTAATGGGTCGATAGTTTTTAATTGATGATTAGAGTGATCTTAAATGTACTCACTGAGCAAATAAGCTTTTACAAATAAATTTTATACTCAGTAATATGTTTACTTTGATTGATCAATAACGTAATAAAATTCTACCTTATGTCGTAAAGCACTTAGGTTGATTCACATACAATAAAATTAAAATATTTTATCGTTCTTTAAGATATGTAATGCATTGTAAATTATGATTTCTATGATTATTACTTTCATCCTTTGCACTTACATTGATTTTTGTCACAAACTTTATCTGCTTGTAAAGAGAGTTGCATAATAGACACTTCTCGAATGCTTATGATCGTTGAAGAAATAATGTTAACTCTATAACGAACTTACCAGAATCTATTGCATTTTTTATATTGAATTATTGAATTTACAGTATCCGGAGTTCTTTATAGAAAGGTTTAAGATATCTGAATTCATTATAGGAAAGTTTGATATATCTAGAGTCAATTGTACTATCTAATTAAAACATATCAGAAATCTTTATTAGCATTATGAATAATTCTGAAAATGCTGAATTTTGTCATATGCAAACCCGACCCTCGCAAAACGTCCCTGAAATGCCCCATGAAAAATGTTGACGCTGTAACCTAGAGTAATGGAACGACAATCCCCTTTGCAGCTGTATGCACCCACCAAACTGTTTGAAAGTCTGAAGTCTAGTTTTTTTTTAATAGTACTCAAATATAACTGAAAAGCTATCACTTTGTTTATTGCTTTTTATATTTTTATATAAGTCACATGCTGTGTTTAATAGTCACAAAATATTTTACTTTACCAATATGGTTCAATTTTCTCAAAATCATAGAGGATTTGATCTTTACTGCGTTTGACTTTCTTCAAGTCTTAGCTTTACCAGGGGCTTCACCAGCGTTTTGACGTTTCGATATTTAATGAACCGCTTGTGAACGAAGTCACAAGGCGGTACATTATTAAAAGTCACTGGGTTTTTTCCACGTGATGGTACATCACCTGACTTGTTCATTAGGTATTTGAGTAACTTGATGATCTATGTGTTTCTTTGTTCTTGAATTTTTCTGCTCGACTTTGTGTCTAGCTTCGTCGCTGAACAAGCCAGAAATGAGTTTACCAGAAGTAACACAAAATTTAGCTGTGGAAGTAAGTAGTGAAGGAACTACCTCACAAGTGGAAGAAAGCCTCAAAGTAGATTGGAATCATCTATGCTTAACGGATTTAAGGACAATGTGTGTTAAGTGTAACATCCCAATGGATGGCACAAAAGCTGAGCTAGTAGCTTGCCTGGAGGATTTTTGGACAGGACTTGATGATGCAAGCTCGCCACCCAAACTAGATAAAGGTAAAACAGTGGAGCAACTTTCGGAAGATTTTGGCGAAAGGCAAGGACCGCACTTTCCAGATGTAGAGGGGCAGAATCTTGATTTCTTGTCCTATATGGAAAGTAGGTTGGAACAAAAAATTGAGGAAAAGTTAGGAGATTCGCTGCCAAAGATCCTAGATAGGAGCTTGCAACAATGGTCAGCCAAATTAAATAAACCAGGTTGGACCGGGGCTGTTGAAGCTAGCTTCCCAAGGAAGAGCTTCAAGAAATCACAGGACCAACACGAATACAATGCAATTCAGGATGCCGGAACTTTGCTTGAAAAGGTGATCCAGGAAGGGTCAATGGAAAAAACAGCAGAGGTTCAGGAGTTGTTAAGGTTAAGAGCATTCGTATTAAGAGTGGCTGAAGAAGAGGGCTGGAATGTAGCAGCAAAGATACCAAAACCAACACCTGACGAAGGTGACGAATTTAAGGAATTACTGGTGGAAGCAAGGAAGCAAGCAAAACCATACGAAGGGTGCTCCACGTCCTATGCTAAGAAATCTTGGAGAAATAGGAAGAATGATTTTTGGGCTTTAAGTTCGAGACGAGATCAATATGCACCTTACCCACCACCACCACCACAACCTTATGCCCAGTACCCACCGACGTTCCAGGGGTATCAGAGTCAAAGTCTAATTCAAAACCCAGGCTTGTCATACCCAAATCCGGTTAACAAGCTGTTGACAAAACAGATTACCTGTTATTTTTGTGGGGGTGCAGGTCATACTGCAGCAGTGTGTCCTTCGAAGTCAGAAGGTAACTCACTTGGTAATGGGTTTTTTTGGAACAAAGGCAGCAATGCAAGAGGGTGACTACACTCGGTGGAAGAAAATAAACAAAATAATGATGTTAATGGGCATTTCGGATCAAGACAGGGAGGTGGTTGGAAAGATCCATGAACCTGCAGCCATAAGATATTGGATCGAAGAGATAAACCTCCTACCGGTAGTAGCCTGTTGGTTAAAAAACCGGGTTCTCTTATTCCCAAAAGACGTGTGGACCCTCGCAATGAAATCAGACCCAAAACCCTACAAGTTAACAATAGAACAAAGGGCGTGGTTAAAAGAAGAAGTAAATCGTTTAGAAAAACAGGAGGCCATAAGAAAGGTGGGGTCATCATCGCTTCGCCCAGCTGCCTTGCTAGAGGTATCGCCACTTTTTCTGGTACCCAAATTAGGTCCGAAACATTTTCGCCTAAAAATAGACCTAAGAAGTTTAAACGAACGGTTGCCGGAAAAGTCATTTCGGTTTGAGGGACTAGGAGGCCTGTTGAGGTCGATAGGGAAATGTTGGTCTATGATCACGTTGGACCTGAGAGACGGGTACCATCATGTATTGATGAACGAGGAAGCTTGCTGTTTTTTAGGTTTCCGCGTAGAGGAGACTTGGTACCAGTATCAAGTATTGCCATTTGGCCTTTCCCAAGCAGTTTGGATCTTCTCAAAAATTATTCGAGCCTTAATTTCCCATTGGAGAGCAAAGGGCATAGCATCAGGCTCCCATGTCGACGACATTTAGGTGGCTCACCCCTCTGCAGAGATACTGGAAAGAATTCGTGACGAGGTTATATTACCAGACCTAAGGAATTGTGGGTTCGTTCTAGCATGGGACAAGAGCAACCCAATACTGTCAAAGGAAATAAAATTTTATGAGTTAATTGTAAACACAGAAAAGGCACAAGTAATTGTACCAGAACAGAAGTTAGCAGATACAAAAGCCTGTTTAAGTGTGCTGTTGAAAGAAAATGCAGTATCAGCCAGGCAGTTGGCACGGGTCACAGGCAAGATCCAGAGTTTAGCAAGGGCCTTTGCCCCAACGCAAGTAAAATGTTTGGAGTTTTACTCCCTGATAGACCCAGCAAACCGGCAGAGTTAGAGATGGGACGAGAGGATTCACCTGTCAGAACAGGCGAAAATGGATTTACGTTGGTTGTTGGACAACCTGGAGAAGTACAATGGTCGCCCAGCCTGGAGGCCATCTTTGATAAAGAGTCTGTTCGTAGACGCCTCAACAACTGGTTGGTGCGCGAAGTTAGAAGGAAGAACAGCATTCGGAAATTGAACAAAAATGTGAAGTTTTCGGAAAATTGCAAGGTTGGAAGCAGAAGCTGCCTTATTCAGGTTACAAAGCTTCGCAAAATTTTTAACAGGTTCCTGGGTGTTGGTGTTCATAGACAGTCGCACAGTGTTAGCAACAATGAGGTTGGGCAGAAAATGCTGGTGGCAAAAGGAAGCCTACAGGAACTTGTGGCAAATTTGCCTAGAGAAGGACATTTGGATCTACAAAATAAGGTAGGTGCCCTCAACAGAAAATCCAGCAGATTTTTGGACACGAGTTTTCAACTCTTCAGATTAGTGTGTCAGAGACAAGGTTTTTCAACAAATCGAGGCCACTTTTGGACCACATTCGATAGATCGAATGGCTTTACACTTAAATACAAAGCTCCAAAGATTCAACAGTTTCCATTTCTGTCCTGGGACGGAAGCAATAAATTGCTTCACCCAAAAATAGGAGAACGACAGGAACTACGTATGCCTCCCTCTGCATCTTGTTCAAAAAGTGCTTTACCATGTGATAAGTTGCAAAGCAAGGTCCACCGTCATAGTCCCAGTATGGTCATCAGCAGAGTGGTGGCCACTGCTCCTGGAATTAGAGTGGAAAGCCTTAGCCCTTCCAGACCCGAGAACAACATTCTTACCCGGCCCATCAGGATTTGTAGAACCCTGGAGGAATCTGCAGTGGAGATTTCTGGTCGTTCACATTCATCCATAAAGGAATTGTCAGAAAAGGCAAAGAAATTAGCAAGGGACTCAGTGTCTCCTTTTATAAGACAAAAGCTGATAAATATTGGGGTCTCTACACAACTTTTTGCAAGAAATTCGGTTTGAACATAGAAAACCCACAGGAGGATGGTATTTTGGCATTTATCATGTGGCTGGATATAATGAACCTGGCATCACAAATTCAAAGGATACTGCAGGTAGTCATAAGCAACCTTCGTTTTGAAGGAAAGGAAGATTTCAGAAAATCTCTGGCAGTGACACGGGTAATAAGAGCGATAAAAAAGGAGGTTTCGAAAGATAAAACACCTGATTGGCCACGTGACCCGTTACCTGTTGTGACATTAAGATATTACGTAGACGCACCACCTTCTTGGACTGACAGATCTATGTACAAAAGAGATATCGCGCTGGTGGCCCTAGGATTAAGAACAATGCGTAGACCAGAAGAATTAAGGAACCTGTCTTTGAAGGACATAAAATGGGATAATGAAGGGACCTTATAGGTCCGGATTTGTAAGTCGAAAACAGATCAATTTAGAAATGGCAGGTTTATACCTGTTAAAAACACCAAATCAAAATATTGCCCAGCCAATTTATTAAAGCAATACCTGAGAACCTGCCCGATAACTGATGGGGATGCACCACTATTCTTGTCAAAACAAGGAAGGAAGGTCTCTGTTTCGGCAGTAGGATCGATAGTAAAACGGTTTGCTGAGCATGCAGATCTAAACGGCAGATTTACAGCCCACTCATTACGTATCGGAGGAGCCACAGCAGCAATGTTCGCAGGCATAAGCCTTGTGCAAATACGGGCAATCGGTGGCTGGGACTCAAAAGCAGTTATGTTATACTTGAGGACAGTATCCACCGCAAAGGCTGGAATTTCTAAAGCCATGGGGTTCTAAAAAAAAAAAAAAAAAAAAAAGGGGGAACACAATTAGAAACAGAACGGTGACTACTGATGGAAAAAAAAAAAAAAAAAAAAAGAGAAAAGGAAAGGGGTAAGAAATGGTGAAACCAATTGGAGAAAAATCTAACGATCTATGTAAATAGATGTAAATGAAGGAAGCAAATTAGGACGGTGTCCACTGTAGAGCTGGAGCCTCTAAAAAAAAAAAAAAAAAAAAAAAAAAGGGGAGATAGATAAATAAATAATAATAAAGCAAATAATAAGTGAATGAAATAAAGCATGTTTTTATGGGGGTTAGAGTCTTAATCACCCAGTAGGAATTGAGTGTGAGGAAGGAAAATTGAGTTTTTTAGCTCTGAACGATCCTCATCAACAATCTCATACTGTACTACAATTAGGCACAGATGTATTGTTGGTCATGGAAGGTGTTCATTTGATAGAAGGGATGTGTTCCATGACGAACAATAATAATGAACCGCTTGTGAACGAAGTTACAAGGCGGTACATTATTGAAAGTCACTGGGTTTTTTCCATATGATGGTACATCACCTGACTTGTTCATTAGGTATTTGAGTAACTTGATGATCTATGTGTTTCTTTGTTCTTGAATTTTCCTGCTCGACTTTGTGTCTAGCTTCCCCCCCACCGCGTCCAGAAAAAAAAAAAAAAAAAAAAAAAGTGATAATGCGATTCTCGTAAAAGCTGGTCATGTGATACCAGATTGCTTGTTCGGCGACCCAATCTCATACTGTACTACAATTAGGCACAGATGTATTGTTGGTCATGGAAGGTGTTCTTTTGATAGAAGGGATGTGTTCCATGATGAACAATAATAATACACATATTAAAATTCCAATAATTTATTGTAGGTAGAGATCGGATTCATTAAATCTACATAATTTTAGCCGGAATTTAATTTTTTAATTTTTAATTGCCAAAATGAAAATTTTTAAGGTTTGGTCCTGTCAATAGTAAAATTAGCCCAGGAACATATTTCACTTAGGGTTGAAAATTACATTTTACATATAATTTCACAAGTTTTGTAACATGGTTTCATGGAAATTTCACATGATATATAGTGCCAGAACTATGAAAAATTTAACTAGCATTATTAAACTTCAATAGATTTTTCATAAAGTTTACTGATCAAATCGATGCGCATATGATCAAAGCAATCACATTGAATTATATGATAAAATAATCATGTTTCTTACAAATTATGATAATTGCCCAACACTAATTTTCATTCAATGAGTGGTCATAATTTCATTAGTAAAAATTTGAGCAATTTTGTCTAAATTTTTGATCGTTGAACAAAATAGTGAGTTTTTACGTATTTTTTGTGCGGCAAGATTTAATTGCAGTAATAACATTGAGCACGTCCTTGTTTAAAGTTTTCATGTGGTCTAATTTTTGTTAAACGATCCCAAATATCATGATTACCATGAATGTTGTATTTATTTTTAAAAATAATGATTTAATAATATTTATATTTATTTATTATACCAAAAAAATGTTTGGCACGTAAGCAAAAGATAATAATGGAAAAAAGGTAAATTCTTATCAAATATATAGGGTGTGTTCTGAGAAAAGGGACCAAATTAATAAAAAAAAGGTTTGCAGAAAATTAAATTTTATATTATAAATTTTATAATTGATTATAAGAAAATATAAAATTTAAAGAGTTGTACTGCAAAATTTTATTAGAATAACAGAACTTGTTTCTTAAGTAAAAAAATGGGTTTATATAATTTTGAATTAGTTAAGTTAAAAAACAAATTTTGAAAAAATTGTCACTTCCAACCCAATAAAATCACAGGATCTCGTGTAACAAAACAAACGCGAAATTGTAAAAAAAACGTAAATAACACAAAAATTTACTATGATAACTAACTTCCGACTTCTAAGCAAAAGTTTTCAGAATGAAATTTTACTTATAAGACATGATTGTTAATGTTGGATATATAGTGAGTTTTTGATATCCTATGACCTATATCTTTTTGGCCGGCAGCTCGGGATTTTCTTGACATTGTGAACAGTAGGATGGTAATGCCGGAAGCTCGTTTAAGCAGGTGATCGGTGTGGCGCAGTAACGAATAAACGGC